GGAAATGGCCAAGTCGAAAACGCCAACAGAACTATTGTAGATGGTTTGAAGAAACGGCTGGGAGAGGCAGGAAACAAGTGGCTGGAAGAGCTCCCACACATCGTATGGGCATTCCGAGTAACACCCAGGAGGGCTCACGGGGAAACTCCATTCTCCCTAACCTATGGGTGTGAAGCAAGGCTGCCCATCGAAGCTGAATTCCCAACGTTCCGGGAATCAAATTATCAACCCCAACAAAATGAAGAAGACCACTTGGCCGAGCTCAACTTGGTCGAAGAACGAAGAATGGCCGCGGAAGTTAAAATGAGTACGTACCAACAAGTTGTGAAAAAGTACCATGACAACAAGGTTGGGCCGCAGTACTTCCAAGTTGGAGATGAAGTCCTACGAAGAAGAGAAGCAAGTAGACCCGGTGACGGAGGAAAGCTAGCAAAAAACTGGGAAGGCCCATACAGGGTTAGAGCCATCATTCAACCAGGAACATACCGGTTGGAAACTTTAGATGGTGTACCGATAGAAAGAACTTAGAATTCCCACCATCTTCGCAAGTTCTACAAATGATTGTAATACTAGGCGAGGCCTAACTACATTATCAATCAAAGTAATGTTCAATACTCTACTTGGTAGCGGCGGAATTGATAGGTCGAACCTATCCTAGGAGGGCTTCCTGGGTGGATCGAATCCACTTGGATAAGCCAACTGAGACACAGGCCCGGACCTGGCACGCTGGTTACTACACCGATCTTGCTCAGTAGAATAGAAAAAATATTAAAACCCGGAAGAGGGTATGCCTGCAAGAGGGCTGGACCTGGAAGAGGGTTCGAACCGTACATACACGGGCCCATGAAGTTTGACTGGTGTCGGGGAATCAGCCGGCGCCGTCAAATTGATTGGGGACTAAAAGATGCCCATTAAAAGAAATAGAAGGGGATCGTCCACCGTGGCGCATCCTGTTTCCCCCTTCTCAGGGAAGACTTGAACAGGGGGGTGAGCTAAGGCCTTCCCGGGATGGTAGAAATCAAAGGGCCATTAAAAGACTTAATCACCCGGAAGAGGGGGCCCTGGAAGAAGGGTGCATTTGAACCTTGGAGAGGATTCGAAACCATTCGACATGGTTAAATCTCCAGTATTCTTACCGGTTAAGGATACTTCAAGAATTACTAGGTTACAGGTGTTTCCATCTACAACCTACCGGTCAAAAAAAAATACCCCAGTCGGGTATGGGCACAACAGAACTTCGAAAGTTCTACATCCATCGAAAGGCAAGGCAGTTTAGCTCTTGTTTAGGTCATGTTTAGCTCATGTTTCAAAAACTCGTTAAAACGTTCAACCAAAAATATCACAAGAAGTGCTAGAATCGTTATCACTATCACTATCTGAATCTGAATCATCAATCTCTACTTTTTGAGAAGAAGATGCTTTAAAAGCAATTCCCGTTCTCTTCTTAACATCAAGAGTATGAGAAAGATGATTTGTTTCGTAAGTGATAAGGTTACCTCGAAGACCGTCGTATGTGATGACGTTGTAATCCCGGCCTTCGTAAATGGAGTTTACCTTTGCCTCCCATTCCTTGGTAAGACTTCGTAGGATTTTCCTTACTAACTCCTTGTCAGTGAGCGTCTTTCCAAGCATATCAAGGTCGTTGACGATGTTTGAAAATCTTCCAAACATGTCCTCCACAAGTTCGTTGTCTTTCATAGCAAATAACTCATATTCATGGGTTAGTAAATCAATTTTTGATTCACGAACTTGAGGCGTACCTTCGTATGTGATCATGAGATTGTTCCACATTTGGTTAGCGGTTTGGCAACGAGATATCTTTTGATAGTCGTTGGCGTTGACCGCACAATACAAGAAGTTGATGGCGGTGGCATTCAATTGAGCCTTTTTAAAATCGGCTTCATCATATTCATCCTCGTCCTTCGGGATGAGTGTTTCGCCTACCTTCTTCATCGGTAAGCTATCTCCATTCTTGATAGCAAGCCAAATTTTGAAGTTGTTTGATTGAACAAAAATCCTCATTCGCTCCTTCCAATATGAGTAATTTGTTCCATCAAAAAATGGTGGCCTTACGGTGGATTGCCCTTCTCCTATCCCTGCGCTCAACATTCTCAAAAAAAATTTGATCGTTTTCTCAAACGTCACAAAGAGCGTTAGAGATACCCGCTCCGATACCAATTGTTAGACAAGGCGTGCAACTCTAGAGGGGGGGTGAATAGAGTTGTTGAGAATGTTTACCGATTTTCAATGATTAATAATATAAACGTAAGTGCAGCGGAAATAAAAGAGAGAAGGAAAAGAACACACCGATGTATACTGGTTCACCACCTCGTGGCTAGTCCAGTTCCCCGAGAGACTCTCTCGAAGCTACCACTACTTTCGTTAAGCTTACGGGTGCTTAACAAACTGTTTACAACTCGAGAACTTCAATCCCACAAGCCTCGACACAACCGCTCGTAGATATGCCCTCTACAAGACTTCACAACCAAGACTTAAGTCACATAAGTCTTGAACAACAAGAAGAAAAATCTTCTTCAACCTCTCAACAATAGCTCTCAAAAGAGTAGAAATGAGAAATGATTAAAGCTCTAATGGATGACAAGAAACCTCTCTTGAAAATATAATTTTCTCTCAAAATAATATAAATTTGAGGAAGGATTGATGGAGGATTAACACCTCAAGAATGGGGAGTATTGGAGTGTTTCTTGTTAAGAGAAATGACCAAGGAAGGATGCTTAAATAGGAGGTGAAGAAATATATCCGTTGGTCCAAGAAAAGAAGCTGTGC